GGAACCCCGGCAACCCGATAATTCTTCTGCGGCTCCACAGCGTTCCCTGGAACAAATGCTTGCACTTAAGATCCGCAAATAAAAACTGAGTTATGTTAGGTAGCACAAGGAAAAAGCATACATATCACAGTCATACATACGTTTACACAAACATAAATATAATTACTCACACTATTCTACGCTTAGTGGCCATTACCCACATCTGTCGCACCTTGCATTAAAAATTATACAAAACCTTCAGTTGAGCCGTGCACAAGTTGATCTTGACCGGCTCTTACTGAAAATGGTTGAATAGGGCTTATACACATATAAACAGAAAATCTTGTTAATAGTAGATACCACTACAATCGGCCCCGTGATGGCAGTAGCAGCCGATATATTATTGGTAATACAAAGCTAGAAGAATAGTTATTTACATGATTCAAATTACAGTTTGGTTTAAAATGAACAGCTGTCGTTAACGCATCAAATGTTATAGAATATGACTCGACTCGAGACCCATGCAAAAGCTAATAGTACCCAGTTATCGATGAGAATGGGTGCCCTTGACGCATTGATAGCCGCCGTCAACAGGTGGCAACAGTTACCGTGGTCAACCGTTGACACCTGTATCTGCCAATAGCAAAATACCACATGTGTGTACGACCCCTTATTCTACGTCAGGTACATATTTGTGATGCAAATTGCATGCACAGCTGCACTATGCATCGTGCATCACTGATATACCTACATAGATGCTTGTCAAAGGACTATAGATCATATTTTATGCATTCAGCCCTCATAGTCCCTTTGGTACGATTGTTGTAGTTTGCTATTGATTTGTAAACTGAGGAGCATTAATTATTATTGTTGTTTGTTTTCCTGCGTACATTATTACATGGTTAAATATTTATGTAAAGTTGGTATTTAACAATTATTTTAATAATTAATTTATGTTTACTGTAAGTTCTTAGGAATGGCGAAAGGTGGATCTTTAATTTGACATGAATGTGAATCTTTATTTCGCCTAACTTCACTGACAGACGGACAGACGGTAAATTAATTTTTGACGTTTCAATAGTGCTAATTACGTATTATTGAAATAAATGCTTTTACTTTGACTTTGATTTGACTATCGTTGTTTGACTGTGACAATCGTTGATTCGACTTGTTGTTTCATTGTTATTATCTCTTTAGTTTTTACAATACTATGAAGTTTCTAAATTTCTATTAAATATTAATTATCAATAACAACCGGGCAATATTTACAGGCATAAACTTACTATCAAAAATATCACTTAGTACACACAGCTCATGTTACTTCAATAAAAAAATCTAAAATGTGACTACAAAACCCACACAATTTTCCTCGCAGCAATAATAATTTCTAATCTCCAAAGTACACTCATAGGATACAGAAATAAACGACCTAATTTTAATACAGCCAAGCATTTTAATAGGCACTAAATGTTATTAACAAAATGGCGCCTCAGCCACGCTTACTTTTATGTCGCAATGGCTTATCAGACGAGTGTGTTCGTGCTCCAAATTGATGTAAATGGGACGGAAAGATTATCGAGCAAGTTTTACTTTGTTATGTTAATCATATTCCTAGGTTAAGTTAGAAGGAAAATGCCGTGTTTGTTCTAAACAGAAGCGATAAGAGTTAAATAAATAATATAACATCACATCACGCCTTTTATTCCCGGAAGGGTAGCAGAGGTGCACATTACGACACCTAATGCCACTGTACAATGTAATACCCATTTTCACTACTACTTTCACTTATGAGTCCCATATAATAGGGTTATTCCCATATACCAGGTACAATTGCAGACTCCGTGCTACTACTACTTGGAATTTTAAACAAATCCCAGTAATACTTTGCCGGGATCGATCCCGAGACTCCTTGCCTAGCAGTCGCACGTGCCACTACTAGGCCAACGAGGCAGTCATAAATAAATAATTGTTAGTATATTATATTGGCAGTGGTTAAATATGAAGAGTTAAGGATCAAGCTTAGTGGTGTTATATTGGGGAAGGCCTATCTAGGGAAGGTCTATGGACTATCCTACAAATATAAACGCAAATAGGCTGATGTTGGTAATGACGATAATGCAATATTATTTATAAATGTGAAATACTATAATATTATAAATGCGAAACTTTGTGAGTTTACATGTATGTTTGTTACTTTTTTACAACAAAATGACTGAAAGGATCAGGATGAAATTTGGGACAAGTTTAGATTATGGCCTGGAACAGCGCATAGGCTACTGATGTCCTATGGGTTCGTGGGCGAAGCAACACAAGCTAGTTAAAAATAAATCAAATAGGTAAAATTCTACTATGAGCAATAATAAACGCAGAACCTACTGGCAATAAAAAATGAACCAAATGTGCTACAAAACAGCCAGATAAAACAAATAAAAGAAAAAGAAACACTTTGAAAGCCCAAAGAGCTTGTCCAAATTGCAGTTTATTTTCGTACCGCCCTTTTAACTTTAAAACTGAAGTTGGTCTTTGAATCTTCAATGTGGTTAACAGAAATAAACTAAAGCTAGATCAAAGACTACGTAGAGTCTTATTCAATATAAGCAATGCAGGTGGTATAACACATACTTGCTATGTCCTGCTTGGGTTATAGTGTACCTACCTATATGTTAAGGAAAAAAAAGACTCCCATCATATTGTGATAATAATAGAAATGAGCGTCTTTTCAAACGTCAAAGTTTGGCGAGTTTAGATTTAAGGAAATACCTATGTAAAATTTCAATGAATAAATTTGTTAAAAAAAGTCCGTAGTTTTGATATGTTATTGAAAGCATAGCCATGTTTGTTGTATGGTTGTAAAAGTGCTACCGTGTAGTTGATGGCTATTCTACGCTACTTTGTAGGTCCTTCTTTAAGACATTGTCATCAGTCTTCAGCCACAGGACGTTCTCATGAACATTACCGGACTCTTTTATGCGAGCGGTGTTGCTGTTAGAACACTGAAGATGGTGCACCTACCCATACCTCAGTAGCTGATCCCAATTTAATGCGAAGTCCAAATTCCTAATTTATCCTAGGAGAACCTAACGGGTAACCGGGGCTTCGGCTCAACGTGCAGGAGAAGGAACGGGTGGTTTTTAGTTAGTAAGAGTCTGACACTCCCTCCCGCCTCACCCAGACGGGAGCAGTCATTCGATGATTTCCCCCCTTAAAAAAATCCTAGCTATAAATCTAGGCATCTATGTCCAACAAAAAAATACAAGCAAAATTTAAACTTAAAAACATTGTAACAACTACTACTTAATCCCGATTTCACATCTTAAGCATTTCTTCGTATTTTCAATGCTACAAAGCAGACGGTCTTAATCCAGGGATTGGCCCACTGCACCATTTTATCTCAAAAGTTCACTGCAGAGAAAGAGTTACAAAACTAATTGCATTGAAACTGGGTCAAGATATTATGTACCTAGCTACCTACGTATTTGAATTCAAATATGGTCCTATACCTTTTATTGCTTACAATGTTGATTGGACGGAAGACACGTGGTGTGATTGCCTTTTATGTGGACTAGGTACTTAGAAACCAGGTGTCCAAAAATTATTATGACTGTAGTTTCAAATGTGCCCCTTTCATCTGTGTGATATCTGAAGTTTTGATGGAAGTGCCTACCGTAGATACTTTTGTTTTGTAGATGTGATCTTTGGTATCATCATCATCACTGTACACCTATGGTTATTGCTTGCTTGTATTTGATCTAGACGTTATCTTTTGGTCAACTAGAAATACCCAACTGTGTAAGATTGGAGTATGTTAATATAATATTGTCTTTATGTTCGGCATTTCTCTTGGCCTTGAGTATTCCCTTATACATAACTTTTATTAAAAAGTACCCAGTACGGATTTAATTCAATAACTTGCTTGAAAAATGTAAATAAAAGGAGGAATTTTTACGGATCCTATTCTTGTCGCATAAAACCTATATAGAAGGCCACCTTTCTGCATCTACTTACCTTTTTATAGCCGTTGCTCCCGACCTTGGCCCGTTCACCCGGTCCCTCTCCCTACTGCAACCTTTCCAGCGTTCAGCGAACCGTGCAGTCGCTTCCTCAACAACCATTATTTACAAAACCTTCAAACTCATTAAAAACATCTTTGTCAAAGGTCCAATTAAATTGGTCGTGAACTACAGCGATTAGGTGCGGTGTACCTAAGTAACTGAAATAGCACATCGTGTTTTGATAGCAAACGTTTCGGTTGTGTGTTGTGCATAGACGGGTTTGTTTTGATTTGTTTCGTGTGTAGTCGTATAAACTACGCAGTGTATGTTGAACAATGAACTATTGTGTGTATTTGTGATAGTTCAAATGACAATATCCGAAGAGCCTACGTTTGGATCGTAAAGGCCGATTCAATTAAATTTTATGTCAAGTGAGTTACTCGAGTGTTTACGTATAATGAAAGTCTGATCTTAAAGATACCTTGACCTTTAATTTTATTCCGTTCCTTCTCAGAAATGAATATTACAATCATCATCGCAATTTCGTATTAAAGTTTAGTATTTACAGAATGTACCTAATTGCTATCAGGTCTCAGTTATGATCACGATATTTTAAAATTTTGTTACCTATAGTAACTGGTATAATTTTCAAGAAATGTTTTACTGTTGAATGACAATCGTTTCTTTTAATATCAACGGGATATTTCACACAATTTTCCTTAGCACCTACTTAAGGAAATTACAATACCTTACTTAGGCCATTTTTTCATACAAAAATGAGCCGTTATACAGTATAACTGTCATTATAAAATAAAATTATTTTTGATTAAAATATGTAAAGATTAACTTACTTAAAAACATTTAGAACTATATACAGTTAAAATATACAAACAGAAAAAGAACTAGTAAAACGTATGTTTTTATACTATAATTTCTGCTTCTGCGTTAACCTTTGAGGTAAACGGTTGTAATATTATTATGAGAAGGTGTATCATTTATCTTTTTCTTTTCAGATACACAGATGAAAAGATGACGAGGAAGTTTCTTTTCTGTTTCCCTTTAAGGGTGGGGAATATTATATTCGGATATATTGTAATAGTAAGTATTGCGTATTCATATTATACATTACTTACTTTCTGCGACGCGACGAGGCTTTGCAGTAAAGTATTGTACGATAAAAATGTTATATCTTACTATACCTATGTGGGATTCCATTCAAAATTGGATACATAACTTATTTCTTAGTTATTTGGTTTAATAAAACTGGTATATCCCTAAGCGATTTTGTGGTTTTTAGATAATTTTTTTTTATCTTAATTTCTTTCAATCGAATTTTAATGTGTTAACATAAAATAAATACTAATTACTACTAACTATATACAATTTAAGATAAAAACTAAAGAAAGGAAAACTAAAACTAGCTATTTACACAAAGATATTTCGAATTATAATTGACCTATATTTTAAATATAACTATGAATTTTAATTTAAATGAAAAAATTAATTAATTAATACACACAGCTAAAAGATACAAATAAGAACCTTATTACTTAATGCATGACATTAGTCTCCTTTTACACCTTACTTGAAACATATTACGTAACTAAAAGAATGAGGATATCTGCTTACCCTTATAGGTCAAAGGTGTACTCACATATAAGACTTATATATATTAAGTGTCTCAATTGATAAATGAAGCTCACATTCGTAAGAGCGCCTGATGTAAATATGCTAATCGAAATTGTATAACGTCGTCACGTCAAGTAGCTTTACATTCGTATTGTTGCTTTGCAGCTTTGCTTAAATTATTCTATCAGGCGTTCACCACAAGTACTTCTAGTTTCGAATTAGACAAAGTGCTTTTCAGAACAGTGTTGCTTATTTTGTCTTTATTTAGTCTCATAACATGTCTGCTCTGAGTTTTGACTGTATTTTACATTAATGTTTTGGCCATTTATAACTTAAGGTTGAGCATATTTTTGACTTCAAGCTACAAGTTACAATTTCTAAATGATATTAGAAAAAAGACTTAATTTATTTATTTATTTTACATAAGTACAGATACAGTCGACAGATTTAAATCGTACACAACAATCTTAATTATAAATAGTAAGCGAACCTGAAGTCCAATTACAGCTGTACATAATCCATTTATATCAAATTACATAAACTATTCCCAAATGTTAATCAATTTTTTTGTAATAAATTTTAATATTAACTAATAGTCACCCATATTAACTAATAGTTACACACCCATTATAAACTAATAGTCACCCTTTTAACCAATAGGTATCAGAAAAAGAACAGTTTCTCAGATTGACCTGTATGTATGTATGTATATTTGTAAGCGAATATCTCGCGATTGGCTGAACCGATTTTGATGCGGTTTTTAGAAAAAGGTTTGTTACACTTAGGAGAAGGTTTTTATATATTAAATAAAAAAGAGGGGGTTGAAGTCTATATTTTTCAAAGGGTATAAAAATACTTTCATAGTCATCACATCTATTAACTTAATATGAATAACATGGTACTAAAACATATCTTGTCTCTATTCCAGCTGATAGCAATAGCGACAGTAGCCTTCCATTTGTACCAGCTTGGCTTGAACGTGACAAACAACTACTTCGAGAAGGATGGAAAGTTCCGAAACTTCGAGAATCTTGAGAGCATATTTGGATCCACAAAGGACTCGCTGGAGAGGATAATCGTCCTTACATATTACCTCACGTATATTACAATAGGAATGATACTCTTCCTATTTGCTATTATGTTCACCGCAGGCGCTTATAAGGTAAGAAATCAAATTACTCAGATCTTTATATATAACTTCACGCCTTTTATCAGCGGAGGAGTAAGCAGAAGTTCACTTAATGCCACTATACTATGTAACACCCACTTTTCACTATTTATTTTACGAGTCCCATGTAATAGGAGTATAGCCTATTGCCATATACCGGGCACAATTCCAGACTCCGTGCTACTACTGAGATTTATTTTTTATCAATACTTTGACCGATCTGGAAATCGAACCCGAGACCTCTTGCCCAGCAGTCGCACTTGTGACCACTCGTCCAACGAGGCAGTCCAACGTTATTATTATGTTGACAACAAAAGGGTTTTTGGTAGATGAAGTCCCGAAAGTATGTAGTTGGATAAATTTATGTACTAGTGTCTACAAGCGGTTTCCAGAGCTTTGGCTTTTGGGTTATTCCAGAGCATCGCCATCTTTCCCGCCTCGCCCAGGTGGAAGTAGCCAGTAGATAATTATCCACCCTTAAAAAATCGTAATCTACCCCTGTTCCAAATTCCATCTCGACCCATTCAGCCATTTTGACGCGAAAGACTAACAACTAACACACACACATACCTACATCCCCACAAACTTTCGCATTTATAATTTTCATAGGATATCTTTTCACAGTTGAGTGAAGATATTGGTTCGATCGTGAAAGAATATGTTGAGCGCCAACGCCACAGACGTCACTAACAATGCACCTCTCGGTACTCCCACTAACGCTGCCGCATACATAAGTTTGTAACTTTGTCAGGTTGTCTATGTTTGTAAGAAGTTTTCGTTGTCTACTGATAGAGGCGCTGTTCTTTTTCTCTTTGCTTATGTTCGTTTTATAATGACGTTGCTTTAAATAAATATCGTGATTTATAAGAATTCTGACAAGTGCTTTTGTTGAAATATTGCCTAATCCCAATAGAAATAAATGTGATTAGAGTCGCCTCACACATACATAACTGAGTCGCGGAGAACCTAACGGGTAACTGGGGCTCCGGCTCGAGCTGCAGGAGAAGGAACGGGGTGGTTTTTAGTCAGTAAGAGTCTGACACTCCCTACCGCCTCACCGAGGCGGGAGCAGTCATTAGATGATTTCTCCCCCTTAAAAAAAATAAAAATATATACATAAGTTTGAATAAAATGTTATTACGCTAAACAAGAATGCAAAACATCTTAAACTTATTCCACCATACAACAATATCATATCACCAAATACAGAGTAAACAAACATGGCAATACTTTCCCGCCCTGATACAATCTTTTTACTTAAAAGGAGAAACAAAGTAACTGTTTAATGTGCCCGTAGAGATCGTATCGATATTTATTCAAGATTAATTCAGATAAAATTGTATCGAACTGAGAAAGCGTCTCGAGTGAGCCGGTATAAAACTCTTTGTGATTTTATAAATATACCGCCGTGTTATTGTTTATGCGATTCTGTATACTTTTTACGTTGTTTCCATTATCTTTGGTACAGATCTGGGTGTCTTGTTGTCCATGCAGTTGAAAAAGTAACTGTCGAACTTCAAAATTAAGGTTTAAATTTCCAGTGAATGTGTCAATTTAAGTAACTGTCGAATATCTTAAAGAACTATAATTTCCATAAGTAAACAAATGTAAAGACTCAAAAAATTTTTTTAATCAACGTAAAAACAATAGTCCTATACTAATCGATCTAGAAAACTTTATTCGAATCACAATCGTCATTGCAATACATTGCCTAGCCTGTGACGTAAGTCTATTCAACTTTTTTTGTATCGTGACGCCAGGCACAGATACGATATCATTCAGCCAATAACGTCAATAGATGCACACTGACAGTTTGTTACGCAATACGATCTATCGATTGGGGTCACCAAGCGGTCACCGGTGACCGCTTGGTGTTTGACAGATTAAGGGCTCCCTTAAATTCAGTAGAGGTTGCTAAAACGGGCAGACTCTTAACTCCTCCGTAAGTTTAAAATAGCTTAAAAGATATATTAAAAAAAACAATTTGACTTCCTTTGGCAACGTCCTGGTGAACATTGGGTGTTGTGACAAAGGCAATGACCGATTCTCAATCGGTCACCTAACCTGTAATCAAACATGGAAATATATTTCATGTACAGAATTGACTTGTATTTTGTATTTATGCACCCTTGTATAACCCTTTCGTAGATTAGAAGAGTACTTTTTTAACAGCACTTTCTGAATATAGTGAGATAAATGCAACTCTCGAATCGACTGCCAATAACTTACATAATCTTACCGATAAATCAAATAACGTAACATCACGAACAAATTAAATAATTATAGCAACGAATTGAAGTAAATTAAAAGCTACAAGATTAGTTTTCACAGATTTTCTACTATTAACTTTTGATCAAATACTTTCATTCGAGATTGGTGTTACGAAACAAACCTAATCGATGTAGTTTATGCTTTTGTAATTCGAACAGAAAGATGGAAGAGAAATCAATCAAGTTATATGGCGCCATTTTTTATTTATTATTCAAATCATTGATACATTTAAGTCTATGGCTAATAATTTGATCAAAACAGTTTAATTATCTTTATTTTTCTAGGCTAAAAATTATCATAAACTCCTTTTTTAGAGCAGTTATCGTTGATTTCGGTTCGGTCCGATTTCGTTCCTCTTGATGACAGGTCGCAATTTAAAAACATAGATACTGAAGTCCTGATAAGAGTCCAGTATAAACTAACAATAAATCCGTCCTTGTATATACAGCTTGTTCTTTAAAAAGGTACATGGAAATATTCTAGTACAGAATTGTAGTCTGTAGAAACTTTGTCACTATTACTAGAAGCCAGCACAACTCTTTTCATCAAAACATTTTCGACTTAATGACTCTGGAATAAAGTCGACAATCAATCACTTTGCCAGCTTGGTACATCTATACCTTTTACAAAGTTGTGTCTTTCTAATATTGAATAGTTAATTAGAACACGATACTACTTTTAACGGCTTTGACAAAAACTAATCATTAAAATGCACTTTACGTACAAATACGTAAAGTGCATTTTGATGATTAACTTTTGTTTCTACATATATTTATTTGTGTACAGAATTCATGCATCTCAACGAAAGAACAATTCTTATGTTTATTTCTAAAACTTTAGCCTGATTGTTTATTTATTAGTACCTACAAAGTCCAAATCTAGTATTTATGGAACTAATAAAATTGTTTAAGAACGAGTTTAGTTTTTTATCCTAACGTACATACATAATCTAATGTTCATTCCTGGAAATACTAATACTAAAAGAGCTTTACTATATGTATAAAGATTTAGAGGAGTGGAAGGTGGGCAAGGAGGCCTTTGAGACGATAGGTACATAATATCATCACGCCTTTTATCCCCGAAAAAGTAGGCAGAGGTGTACACTATGCCACTGTACAATGTTACAACTACTTTTCACTATTTATGTTATGAGGCCCATGTAATAGGGGGTGAGCCTATTGCCATATACCGAGCACAGTTCCAGAATCCGTGCTACAACTGAAAATTTTAAAAAACCCCGTAATACTTTGCCCGACCCGGGAATCGAACCCGAGACCCCTTGCTCAACAGTCGCACTTGTGACCACTCGACCAACGAGGCAGAGGCAGAGGCAGATGAGCATGTCTGAAACTAAAAATTAATAAATAAAAATATAAAATAACCTGAATGGTGTATTCAATCAGATTTTTATTTACATTTACAGGCGAACCACTGTTTAGTGACAACGTTCTTCGTGTACAGTTTCTTCCACCTCTTCTTCTCGGTGATATTGATTATCTGGGAAGCACTGACTGCCGGCTGGATACAACTGGGATTAGTCGCCCTGTTTGACTGTGAGTATCACCTATAAATCTAAGTCTAACGTAGGTAAAAAAATCACTACTGCTTTAAAGCACAATATTTTTAGTTAAAGGATCGATTTTTTAATCATCTGATTCCTCTGGTAAAATTTAACTGAGCATTGAAAAATCAACCCTTACCGTCATACTCAGAGTCATTTAATGGCTACTTAACCCAGTCTTTCGCAATTGTCTTCGGAACAAAATCGTTACTAAGGTATAGTTTAAGTAATTATTAAATGTCTGTCTGTAAGTAACATAATGAATAACTTACCAAATAGCATAAGTAATTTGACAGACATTTCTTAAGAGAATTTCGAAAACGCAGATTTTTTTCCGGCTACGCACCTGTGACTCCTCTGGAGTTGCGGGTATCCATGGGCGGTGCTGATCGCTTACCATCAGGCGTTCTGTCTGCTCGTTTGCCTCCTATTCCAAAAAAAAAATTAGACACCGATTTTTTTATATTGTTATATAATAAAACAATACTTAGGAGTGCCCGCTAAAACGTCATTTCTACGTATAAAATGTACATTTATTTATTTTATTTATTTATTGATAATAAAGGTACATGATATGCCTTACAATCTAACGCCATGTCCAACAAACCTAAATTAAATTACAATTACGTAAATTCTTCATTAATTTTGTACAGAGAGAAGTTAGCAGGGTCAGATTGTAAGATAATAAATAACAGCTAGTCTAATTTATCCAATTAAATGCCACTGGCCTGCCTATGATGATTGTGTCCTCATTCAATTAGTGCTAGTAATTGATATATGGTTATAGGATTCCATTATTTTATTAAGGTACCCATAGGAATGGAAGTTTTTAGTTGAGTTTCAATATTGCCTACACAATAATGTCGAAAATTGGCATTTTTTAATAACAGTAAATTATTGTTTTCTTCTTCGAAATCTCTGGTACAATAATTATTATTAACCACTAAAGGTCCACTGTTCTAAAATAGCACACCTACAAATTCATTATAAACTATATCTATCCTAAACGATAAAGTATATTGTCGCGGAGAACCTAACGGGTTACCGGGGCTTCGGCTCGAAGGGCAAGAGAAGGAACAGGGTGGTTTTTCACACACTCCCTCCCGCCTCACCCAGGCGGGAGCATTCATTCGATGATTTTTCTCCCCTTAAAAAAAACCTAAACGATAAAGCATATTAGACGTAAACATCTTCCCATTGCGTTCCCATTAACTCGTCGAGTACCGTATTTATACACACAATTAAAGAACAATAGGTTGCGGTCACCGGTGACCGCTTGGTGTTTGACAGTTTAATATCATTAGATGAAGTACAGAAATTGGTTCCTAAAAAATCCATCCGTAACTTAATCATAATAATAAATCCTTATTCTATTCTCACTCCTTTGAGTAAAACCTTCTTACAATCAAATTGGTACTTCTTTTAGATGCAATTCTCAAATCCATAAAAATTCATTTCCTATCCGATCCGATTTGAAAATTTCCAATAGCTATGAAATGAATGGGCTTTACCTTCAGTTTTTCTTATTACAATCATAACGAACTCGGTATTAGTACCGTTCTGCTTCTATGAAATAGTTTAACTGTTTAATATTGATTGGAATAATTGAATAATATCCACCGCATTATTGATTTGTTGACTGGATTATTGATTAGCTCAGCTCAAGTGCTTCGGTGCTCAAGTGCTTCGGGAGAGCCATGCTTCGGCACAAATGGGTCGGCTCGACCGGTGTTATATCACGGCCTCATGGAAAACCGACGAGAAACAACCAGAGCATTGTGTTTCGTCGTTTGAGTGAGGTTACTGGACGCCCAATTACTCCCTGCCCCGTTTCTTAATCCCCGAATCCCCAACAATGTTCAAATTCCTTATCCCCAAAAGGCCGGTAATGCACTTGTAACACTCCTGGTTTTTCGGGTGTGTCGGATGGGTGACGTCGATTCCTTACCATCAGGAACCATAGAAAAAAGTTCTTACATGTAAAACATGTAACGAATCATTTAACTGTTATAGCGTAGCATGGATAGTTAACCCTATCCACTTCCTTGGATATAAACTGCCGGATACACCTCATGCGGTAATAAAGTTAATTGTTCATTCCATGCAGGTGTACTACGTGTAGAGAATAAAATTATCAAGCTTCCAAGCCATGAAATGTTTCAACTAATTTTGAGATAGAAGTAGATAAGTTAATAATACTTAGTATTTAAAGTAACATAAGGTTTTATTGTATCTCCGTTAAAAGATTTTAATAATTATTATGTCTGAACTTTTATGTGAGTCAAAACACTTATTTATGTTTCATATTAATATGTAGTATTGGTATGTAGTGTGTGTACTAGGATACATTTATTTATATACGTATATCTAGCACCTTCGTGTTTCAATAAATACAAACTTTTTAAAGACTACTGTAACACTTCTCTGCATCACCCTGCGGTTGGCTGGTAGAGAATACCATTCAGCATTAAGCCCGCAATTGTATAATTATATTTACGTACAAAAAGTGTTAAAATAAAAAAAATGTGTTCTTTCGGGTGTGCTATGATACTACTTTAAGCTTTCTTCTAAAAGAAACAAAGAACCATTTATAGTGCTTGTCACACCTCACCCTATAAGTAGTATTAGAATAAGTATCCACTAGACATGGGATGGCACCTAATTAAAGGTGATCTGTAGAACAAAATGTCTCCCAACGCCCCACATTGTACTTTTATTGGTGCCCATAAGCCTATACATCAAATATCAAACTATACTGTAGACAACCAAGAAGAAACTTAGAAATCTTCGCCAACAGCAACGGTTGCAAGTCAATTATATTAATGAATAATTCTATTTGTTCCAGTGCTCCTCATAGTTTGCCTGTTCAGCGTCAAATATTTGATGGAAGCAATCAGAACAGGGAACATCTACTGTCGGCCAGGAGAAGTTTACTATAAATACTAATTTATTACTAAACTAAGACCCAATATTCCTTGAACAAGTCACAAGTACAGTACAGTAAATGTAAGAAGAAGTTGTAGATTTGTTATTCGATTTTAATACTTATTTACAGATTTGAATAAGTACTTACTCATTGCTTAGCTTGTGAGGTCAATGACACTATATGTTAGGACACTGTTTTATGTAGATTATTTTGTCTCAATTAAAATACTATTATTAATGCTACATACTTTGTACTTCAGTCGTAAGCATCAGATACTCTAATTAACAACAATGTACCTACTTTGTTATAAAAATATTAGATTTTTTAATTTTTATCCGACTTTAGATTAGACTGCGTTTTTCCAAAAAGTGACCTGTTAAACGTGTTAGTTACTTATTCTTATTCTTAGCTCAATGAATCATCAAATTTTGTAACTCTATGCCCAAATTTAGTGTTTAATACTTCATTAGGTATCCCCTAACTGTACAGATACCGTTATTAACATGAAAGTCTCACGTCTTGTTTGAAGCCATACTTGGAAGTTACGTTTGTATCAAGCTATGCCATCTTATCACAGTTTACAATCTAGATTTAAAATTATAACAAAGTTTCTGTGAATTCTTGTTTTCGAGACATTTCTTTAAGACCTTTTAGAATATAAGTGTCTTCAGAATATGTCTAAAACAGAAGACGAACAAACATATTGATTGGTTTAATACGAACTTTCGTAAAATGAATTTCATTACTTGGATTTAATATAAAAAATTAAGATCTAAAGTCACGCCGCCAACATACGCCGTTGGCATCCAAATAAGAATTGTTAACATGTAGTTAATAAATTGTTAAATCATTCAATACAATTCTGAAGGCACTAACTCCCTATAAGTGACCTAGAATAATGGAGTTATCAATAATTTTCAAGTTAAAAACAAATTGTATTTATTAATTAATTAATTAAAAACACAACACAAGAAATCACAACAGTCTTACATAATCTAATAGAGATATTTATGTAAAATATATTTTACAAAAACTGGTTTAACAATCATAACCATAATAAAGCTCAAAACATTCCAATATCACAAATTCATCAATCAATCAAAATAAATTATTAATAAATAGTCAATAAATAATGTTACGTAACTAAAAGATCTATCAATATTTATATAATAATAAATTGTCTAATTGAGAATCATCTGGTGTTCTATTTATTTCTCTTCTCCTCCGTTTCCCTAACATCATGGGTACCACCATGGCCATGGTGGCTGGTACCATGCCAGCACCTACTGCAGCTAACAACGTCGAGCTGTCTGGAGACACATTAGACACAATCTTCCTCTTTACAAGTCTATTCTTATTCACAACTGGCCTAAACTGTGTCATTGCAACATCTAAGTCATTCTTCTTGTCCATATCCCTTTTTGATTCTTCAACAGTTTGGAAACTCTTTTCTACTTCTAACATGCCGCCATGTGACGTTGTCATATTAGTGCGAGCTTTATCCACCGGTAACACAGTCAACGCTACAGCTTGGTGTGATGTCATAGTTGATACATCTGCGCGGTCATCAGCTGGCGGATTTAAAGATCTTTGACGCTTCTTATTTCGGTATCCTTTCGTTGTTGATAACAAAACCCACTGGCCATCACCGTGTGGTGGTCTTGAAACGCGATCGTTTTCATATTCAGGACCTCCAGCATACACTACTTGAGTTGGTCGCCTGAATGGACGCTTCTGTGATGAACTCGGCGACTGATGAAGAGCCTCGTATTCATAAGGGTAGTTTACAGGTCGCTGATCAGTCACTACAGAATCGGACATACCGTAATACACTGAATCGTCATCGGAATAATTTTCATGGTTATCACAATTTGGCTTGTGTGGGCGTCGTCCCTCGTCAGGAGCCCAGGATGATGGATAACTTGCTTGCTGTGGTTTAGTCCATGATGGTTTTGATGGGATTTCCTGTTCAAATTCTGGAGGTAAGTGCAATTTGTTATTCATGTAACTAGGTCGACTAGACGATGGCTTCTTATGCGGCATGTAGTTATAATTACTCCCAGAATCTTGACTAGATGTAAATCTGTCATCATTGTGGAATCTATCATCACTAGGAAACCTGTCGTCATTAGAAAACCTATCATCATTATGGAATCTGTCATCACTTGGAAATCTATCATTACTGGGAAATCTGTCTTCATCGTCATTCCAGTGACTTGGTTTTTGTTTTTTGATGTTTGGTTTCCATTTAGATATTTTACTTGTAGACCACGCGACCGGTTCCAATGTTACCCATCCATCTTTATCGTCAAAAGGATGTTTGTGTTGTTTGACTTTTAATCGATTCCATGTTGTGTACACTTTGCCATTCCATCCTGTTCGTTTTTGTCACTATTCATTGAAGAAAAGCGATCTGCTTTAATTTTGTCCTTTTTAAGCTTAGCAGCTAAAGCGGATATTGCTTGAAGACGATCCTGGGGCACCATAATCTTTTAGTTTTTCTGCTGTTAATATGTAATCATCTAATGCGTCCTCTTCCTCGCTGTTGAAGCCATCTTGACAAGAAGGCCCATAACATCTTGGACGATTTTCATCAAAGTCATGAACAATATGGGTCATAAGATTTTTTATTTCAGCATCATCCTTATCCTTGCGTTCAAAATTCATATCTTCCCATTTATCGTCGAGGTTTGCGGAATCTTGTGCTTTTTCTATAATAGTGATCGGATCCTTTCCAGGTACTTCTAGTTGATATGTTTTGATTTTTTTCTCATACTTCTCTAATTGCGTCGGGTCATCAGAGTTCGCGAGCGCAAGGGTAAATACGCAAAAAACAAATAGTTGCACTGTTATTTTCATCGTGTTTATTTTCACTTTCGTCGGTTCGCGTGTCGGCGCGCGGGCAAGGCGCGCTAGTACTGAGCGCTGGCGACCGCCGCAGCCCACTGATATAGTTTTGATTGTGGATGCACACTAACCCTCCCTGCGCTCTAATGCAATGCTGATTCAGTTCGGTCACGACGAATGAGCGAGATAATTATGTGGCGATTGTCGTTTGCCGGCGACTATCTTAATTGACTATCGCGACTCTCAGGGCCGTGACCCGAGCACGGGTGAAACCGTTTTTCATTTTATGGGATATTTTCTCCACAGATAATAGGAAAGTTTCGCAGTTCACACACGACTCGGTGAAATTATGATTCAAATCTCAACGCAAATCAACGACAAAGACATGCAAGCCTACGTTTCTAAGCACAATCTTGTAATCTGTATCATTACTTGAAAAGTAAAATTATTGCTGTGCAGCGCATACATTATGTATGACATTAATGATTTAAATGATAATAAACCATAATAATTCATAAACGGCCTATAATCAAATTATCATATAATTAGATACCATGTACCTCATTATGCATGTTGAAGACAACGATAAAATGTGCGCTGTTTTACTTTAGTATAAACTTTCTACACCAAATGAATCATCACAACAAAGCAACAAGGAGTTAATAAGCTCATGACGCAACAATACAGAAGCTGGGAAAAAATTGTTTACTAGTTGAAAACATTCACTTATAATATCAAAGCTATTGGTGCTGTAACAGATACGTATTCAATGTCAGGTATCTACAACAAAGGGACCTGATCTACAGTATCGATATCGATAGCCATGCTTTGTGACATAACCGACACTTTCAAAACAAGACTGTAAGTTGACCTAAAACAAGTGTCTCTGGCTCTTATAATCTATTTTCTTGGCAACATGTCTGCTCTCTCCATAATAACAAGCCCAGTTATTATTTGTATCATGACGCTGATCAACTTCGCTCTAATTGTACCCTATACTTTTACCAGACGGTCTTGCTCCTTAGTGGCTCGCACGTGGAATGATATTAAATGTTCTCAGTCCCGTATTTTCTCTCTTATTGGTGTTATTGTTTAGAGGCAATTCAGAACAAATTAAGAGTAATATCCGGATGCCTTTCTGTTCTTATTAAGTTTATTGAGGACAGTTTCGATTTGTTTTCTAATGGCTGTGTTGCTTTGTGTCTCCAGAAGTTGTACTCACCAGATTAATACGCTTATTGAATGGATTTTAACTGCACTTACTGTTGTATTTTAGTTCTGGGATTTAGCCCCAAGATAAATAAAGTATCGATTTTTGTAGTTGAAAATGGAATTTATATATTTTAACTTTTAAGTCTTACTTACTTTATATCGAAATACTCAAATGCCACTCAATTTTATGTTGCGCTTATATATAGTTGAGTCACTACAAATTCTTTGTAAATTAATATTGAGTAGCCTTTCAGTATTCGGGCGTTACCAGAGAAGACCTACTGCTGAACACATTTTTTGCGAACCTGGCATTATAAAGTCAATGACTTAAACAGAAACAAAACATGTATGCTAAACAAAAAACATGACAACATTCACAGCTCACTCAACCACCATCATCACACTTTTGATAATGATGATGGTTTTGATATAACAGCGTTCGCAAATCTTTCGCGTTATTTTTGGACCACAACTTATGTAACAAACATTTAGTGGAGAAAGGAAACTAAAGAACTATCGTTATACTTAGAAGCTATTAGAAAATTCTTTGTACATAGCCGTCAATGCCGTAATACATTATGTTTTATATGAAAAAGTGTACACGCGAGTAGAAATATAATTACTTTTAATGGGTCATTGCGCCGTAATAACAGCTGTATTACCATCTTGTAGTGTCTATGACAGTATAGTATCATGTTTGAGATTGCTGCTAAATTAAGGTAGCTTGAGCCTTTAAAAAAATCTTGTAATAGTTATTTATTTAAGGGCAACCAACAAAACATACACCAAAATACATGATAGGATTTTAACATATTTTAACATAGTGTAGCCTTAATTAAAGGCTGCCCCGACATGCATTAAACAAAGAACAGGATAGGTATTACAACAAAAAGTTCACTTATCAAAAAAAGACATCTTAATACTTTTTAAATCACAATTGTTAGTATTAGTTATTCTTTTTCTTGTATTATAACTTTTGTGAGACATACTAAATAAATTATTATGTTTTCGGCTTACTCATGTAATTATTTGACGAGGGACTCGACTAGTTTCGAGCCATGCTAGAGGCTCATATTCATGAGCAGCATTTCGTGACCTGCGACGCGGCGACTGTCGCGCTACTAAACTGGTCGAGTTCCTCGTCAAATAATTACGTGAGGAAGCCGAAAACATAATAATTCATTTTTTCTTAACAAAATATTCTACCAGGCAAGTTATTCTTGGTTTTTACGCCTCAAGGGATTGATTCTCAACTCCAGCGCATACAATAACACATTAAATAATAACTATTTAGAAATTTTCAAAGTGTCGCTTCCATTTGTGAGCTGTAGAAAGCATAAAAATAACATTGGCTAGCGTTAAATGAGAATGGCAGGACTGTTGAGCACCACCGTGACAAGATATGGTGTTGTCACCACTGTATAATGCTGGGGTCCTGTCACAACGTCACAGTTGTATTATATTAAAAAATAACATTACGAGTTTAATTCCTCAAAAGATTAGTGTTGTGTATCTGTGGTATGCTCTACAGTCATAGGATAGTTTATGGTGATATATTATCTATGTACGTGGCGGAGCCCGCCAATTAAAAAATAGAAGGCTATCGACGCACTCATTTACTACGTCTTCTGTTTTTTTACTAATTCGCGGGCTTCGTCGCGCACACAGATAATTTATCACCATAGACTATAGACATAGAGTATACCACAGATACACAACAATTAGTTATTCGTTTGCTACGTAATGTTGGGAGTCTTGTACAGTACTAAGTCTCATGTGGTGAACTAATAATGCTTCTATTGCTAGGTATCAGGAACAAACTGGCAAATTACTGGCTCAAATGCTATTGGGGGTAATTTCGTAAACCCATTAATACTTTCATTAACCACATGGCCAACGAGATCACTTACATATTTTACACAACTTCGGCAACTTCACAAAAATTCTACTTTTTCTTCTTCATACGATAACATTAATATACTTTTAGCACGTAGAACCAAACTCAAAAGATCGTTTTCTTCATCATATATTCAGACCACGCTTCGGAAAGACAATATCAAGTTGAGTCACACCGTTTCTTATCAAGTAAGTTCAAAGACAGGAAATTTATAATTGGTCGTCGCTCGTCGACCTATTTTTGTAAAGACAGGAGAAGCACTAGCTTTCATAACTATTATACAATCCACGAACAACTTTCACCTTTGTATTATCATTATATTCCCACAGTCTTTCAAAATCTCTTACAAAGACACGCTAATGCATTTTATTTTGTTAATTCTCTAAAGTTTTGTACGTAAGTGTCCTAAGTGGTCGCTTTATTGAGAAAAAGATGAATGCAAAACTGTTATGAAAGTGCATTCACTTTCTTTGAATGTGCATTAGTGAGTTTTAAGCAGTAAGTATTAGACGGAAATACTAGGTAGATATAGACTGCCTCGTTGGCCGAGTGGTCGCTGCTGGGTAAAAGGTCTTGGGTTCGATTCCCGGGTCGGCCAAAGTATTACTGAGTTTTTTAAAATTCTCAGTAGTAGCACGGAGTATGGAATTGTGCCCGGTATATGGCAATAGGCTCACTCCCTATTACACGGGACTCGTAACATAAATATTGAAAAGTGGGTGTTACATTGTACAGTGACATTGAGTGCCGTAATGTGCACCTTTGCCTCTTCGGGTATAAAAGGCGTTATCTGTTATGTTATGTTATGTTACTAGGTAGATAGTCTTTTGGATCGTATAAACGATGTAATTAATATAATTCACTTTTAACAAAAATTAAGACTTAATTCTATTTTGTATAATTGTATCTATATTTTATTCACTACTAAAAAGATTAGACCTTCAAATAGAATACTTTATTATTATCACAACTACATTTGCGAAATAAAAGAAAGAAAGTGTCATTGCAACGGTAGTGTTTACGTTCTGAGGCGGCCATTGTTGTAGCTTTCTTTGCAATAAAGTGCAGAACACAACGACGGGCTTAAGGCATTGTTTGACAAAAAGGCAAAGGTTACACGAACATTATACTTTAACGTGACAAATGAATCTGCTACTGTTTGCTGGACCATAGCAGAAAAGATCAGAATTAAAAATGTGTTTATTGCGAACTGTTTGTGTACTTTACTTTTTAATTTCCAAGAAAAATGTGGAAAGAAAGATATCTTGGTACATTTTAGCCTTCTTTCTTACTGTGTAGGGTAGACGTAACTGGAAAGATTTAATCAGAAACATAAAGATCTATATGAACTTATTAAAAGTACAAAATAATTAGAAGGTTCAATTAAACAATAAAATAGGTAAAAGTACTTATAGGTAAATAGGTACTTTTGAAACGTCAACAAACTACGGACGACGCCTACTGTCGTCAGCCTGCTATTGCTGCTGCTGTTTTTAACTGGATATTAATGATACTGACACGTGTACTTGCCCCGTAACTAGATTTGAAATATAAAACAAACGGATCCGAGACTTAGTAAATGGATATCTCTACTGGCCATTTCTCCTAACCACAAAAGTTCTCCAATTGCACAATAATTTTTCCTCCTCTATCTTTATAAAAGAACAAATCGTTGTGTTCTCACCACAATACAGCGATTATGATTACGTATCAGTCGTTACTCCGAGGGAATACAATTGCATCACGGTCGAAAGCGTAATTACAGTCAAATTTTATAAGAAACAAAAACACTTTCCACGACAATTCGTGAATCACAACACTTAATGGGCGAATGGGTTAGCTATGGTTATGAAGTCGCTTTTTGGAACAATTTGCATGACTTTTTTTATGGAATAAGCTGGTGAACGAACTTGATGGTAAGCAGTTGGCGCCGCCGATGGACACCGAAACACCAGGTGTTACAAATATGTTACCGGTCTTTTGAGGATTAGGAATTTGAGGATTGTTGGGGAGTCAGGGATTGGAGATATTGGAGATTGAGGGATTCGGTAATTGGGCCTCCGGTAACCTCACTCACACGACGCAAGCGTCGTTTCACGTCGGTTTTGCTGTGAGGCCGTGTCGACTCCAGTCGAGCCGGCCCATTTGTGCCGAAGTATGGCTTTTCAACACTTAACGTTGATTAGATTAAGGTAGCCAGGTAATAATCGAAGAAACAAACTGACATGCAAAATAAACAAGTTAAAAGATATTTTAATGCATAATATAATTAACGTCAGCCACAAATTTTATGAAAATTGGGCTGTATATAAACTTAAGTAAGAAACATAATATCATACATAAAATCACGCCTTTTATCCCCGAAGTGGTAGGCAGAGGTGCAAACAGAAGTAACACCCACTTTTCACTATGAGTTCCATGTAATAGGGGGTGAGACTATTGCCATATACCGGGCACATTTACAGATTTCGTGCTACTACTGAGATTTTTTTTAAAAATCCAGTAATACTTGGCCCGACCCGGGAATCGAACCCGAGACCCCTTGCCCGGCAGTCGCACTTACGACCACTCGGCCATCGAGGCAATCAGTTAAGGAAGAAATAAATTAATATCTCTCCATATATGTGAAAACGATAATTTACAAAACTAACTCTCAATACTTTAAGGTATCAACAATAAATAATGCAAAATTCATAAACAATGTGTGCAATGTGCATAAATAATGAACTCTATACAAACCACGTTGTCACTACAAAAGAAAGATCAAACAAAACAAAACATTCAAAGACCATAACCGAATAGACAATAACGATGACACTTTTACTTTATAATCCATTAGATAACAATCGTATAACTTAACTTTAACTTTAAAGTTAAATTTTAACTTGAACTCAGCGTGACGGTCAAGGCTCGATGCGGTTTCACTTTCTGATACATTTCACCGGCCGCTCTCACGGCTAGCTCTCAGACCTATTACAGGTTTATTTTACTTTTAAAAAGATTCAAACGTAACCGCGCTGCGAGCTCTGATTGGTTGATCCAATGGAGAAGGCCAATCAGAGCGCTGAACGCGGTAACGTTTCGATCTCGTTAAACGTAAAACATACTCGTACTAAGCCCTCTGCGCTTGCGCACCGCACTGTTATTTAAAATAATAATAAACGCATTATGCCGCCATGACAGTTGCATCCACCATGAAATGAATGACCATTGATCATTACTGTTGTTGTGTTAAAGTACATTCAACCGTTGATGACTACTTCGTTTCAGTTATAGGTTCTTTATTTGTAGGCAGTAGAGTCGGTTTTGCTCGAGCAACTGTTTCTGCTAATGCGACGTTGATGCTATGAAAGTATTTGTATGGAGAACCCCTTTCCTGTAAATCACGGGTACTTTTGTAGGTACAAAAAATTACTACTAATTCTGTATATCATGATGACTCTTCAAAACCTTTTGCAATGGACAATTACAATTACCGAAACAGTACGATATTTAAAATTGTTTAAAATCATTAGGTCTAAAATTTCTATACTCAACAACTCTATACATAATAATATATTACGCGGTGTCCTACGTGAGCGACGAACGCGACGCGACGCGACACTGCAAACGCGACGAACGCCATCACCTCAACAGTATACCCAACATGCAGCCTATATGACAGATTTGTAATATATATATATGGCAAAATTGTATTGAACTTCTCCATGATTCAAAAGAGTTAATGACCAAAATCACGTAGCACATTTGTCGCGGGAAGCATTACGTCGCGTCGCGTCGGCGTCGTATTCGTCGCTCACGCAGGACACTGCGTTATTGCTTTCATAAGTAAATATCATCATCATAACATCACGCCTTTTTTATCCTCGAAGGGGTAGGCAGAGGTGCACATTATGCCACTGTACAATGTAACACCCACTTTTCCCTATTTATGTTATGAGTCCCATGTAATAGGGGGTGAGCCTATCGCCATATCCCGGGCACAATTCCAGACTCCGTGTTACTACTGAGATTTTTTTTTAAAAACCCAATAATACTTTTCCCGACCCGGGAATCGAACCCGAGACCCCTTGCCCGGTAGTCGCACTTGGGACCACTCGGCCTACGCTACTTATGCCTATAAGTAAACAGATATCTAATATCAAGATAATGTTATTACTTCTGATAACTAATAGTAACTATATAACCCAAGCTCATTGAAATCGCAGATCAATCAAAGGTTTCTCACTGAATAACTTCTGTCTAACTTTCAGATTGGTTTCAGGTTGTCAGGTTCAAGTTCAGTCAGTTGCTAGCCTGACTTAGCGCCTGTCAAACTTAGACACAAGTATCTCTGTTCAAGATTAATATAGGTCTTGAATACCGCTAGGAAATATAACTGTTCGTTTATTTAGTTCATTTATTTTTAGTGATTTCAAGAGTTATTTTTGAGTTGGTAACTGGGAGGTTTCATTTATTCAATTATTTTTATTTATTAAAATTTCAGTTGATCAATGGTGTTCCACGATTCATAGACATATTTTCTGAAATACAAAACTTCGTGAACTACATTCAAACAATAACCATTATAATTTGTTAATATCTTACAAATACAACGCATTAAAATATGAAATACTTTCTACCCCCTGTACGTAAGAAACAGCGTCATTCACATTATCATTTACTACAGTTTGCCATCTATCGGCACAACGTAGAATCAATGAGCAAATGAAATGAAGAGGGCCTTTCACCAAAACATGACTGACGCCATCTATGTTAAGTTAAACGAGAGAGAAAGTACGCTTTCGTGTTAAATGGTTTCTGTAAATTCTCCTAGATGTCACTGGCGGCGACTTTAGAGGAGCGTACTTTGAATGTATTTTATTTTTGTTTAAAAGTGGGGTTTAATGAGTTGTTTGCAGCTTTTTCTTAGTTATCAACAGCTTCTGACGAAAATGTATCAGAAAAATGTACATTCAAAGCTTTGCATATCTGTCTGCATATATCTCTGTGACTCTGCATACCAAGGCTAAAAAAAACTCTTGTTGTTACCTACAAAAAACAAAAAGTTTTAATGTAAGAGTTTCTGCAAAAAAGGCAATTAGAGATGTAAATAAAACAATATATTCACCCGTTTGAATTCACACACATAATTCAAACTAGTTTATAAACAAATATGAAAATAAAATTAGGTACTTATAATGTAAGAAAAAAACACAAAATCTTAATCATAATTTCCAATCACTTACTAGACATAACCGAGCATTCATTCAAGGCATTGTTATGGTCATTTCACTTACCATTTTATTGAAAGCGTGCCATCAATATAGTCAACCAGACGGAAAATTTACTTTCCTTGTTTATACTGAAATAATAACGTATTGTATCGACATCTCCATTATCTTGTTATTGCTTTGAATGACTATGTTCAATCAGGAAGACTGCTACTGTTTGTATAGACAAACATAATGTTTTGTATGTGCATATGCACATAATTCTTATCCGGATTTAATTTAATGTGTCGTGTATTTACTATACATAATATAGTACCTACTTTTTTAACCACCAGGCGAGATAGTGGTCAAACGTCGGCCCAACAAATATATATAAAAAAACACTTCATACAAGTCCTAATACTTCTATAATACACTCATTTACTTACCCAACCCATATTATTGACAGAACTCCATGAGTCTCCTCGTAAATGATGTCAATAACATTTCCATGATGTATTGTTATGTCACAATTACAGCAGCCGGCCCAAATGTGAGCATTACGGAACAACCAGTGAGGTAAAATGTTCCACTAAGTTTAACATTGTCACCTACTTTTGAGATAGCTTGGTGTACACAGTGTTGTTTCTTGTTTCATTTATTGTGATTGGTCGCAGCATTATTAAATGGGTGGCTTAGGTGGAGATTATCTTTTTAACAAAATATGACCATGAAACCAGAAACTATAAATGTGACTAATTTACAACCATACACTTAACCCATATATCGCCAAGTGGTCACCGGTGACAGCTTTCCATTAACTACATTATAGACCTTATTTCCAAGGTTTAGAGACTACTTTTGTATGTACGAATTTCAAAGTTAGGGGATGATTTTCAACAATTTTCAACGGGTTAAGTATATAGTACTTACTACAAATATGTAACTTTTATTTTGTTCTGCTTACAAATTAATTATCACAAATTAATATACTACTTCAAAACTCTATTCTAAAGTGCAAAACATTCTTCAATGTTTAATTTATATATTCCTTTCAATGAGTTTGGCAGATACCTACAACTTTCATCTTCGAAGCGATACGTAATACGCACATTGCATCGATTTTATAATATAACAAAACTACTTAATTATATCAACAAGACTTCCCAGTAGTTACATAAAACCACAAATGCCTGCCCATACATTCGATTTATTCGAAAAAACAACAATTTCGCCACTAAACCGAACAACAATAGGACCATTAGGAGATGTCATCGTGCGTGCAAACAAAAGAAGTCGGGAAGAGATAAAACAACGGAACACGGACAGACTACTTCAAACTATCAGAGACCATTGTAGGCTCTACCTGGTCCCAGTTACATTTCAACCACCGGACAAAATGGTTGCAATTTATTTCTTACTGTCTTTAAGTATCGCGTATATTACCGCGGAGCATACAGGAGCGTACTCATCGCCGCAGTACGCGAAGAAAATGTATCCCAAGAAAGGATATGATACGAACGAGTTGCTGCCGCGAGATAAACCTCCAGTGCTATTCAAGGAAGAGCCAGATCAGGGTTCCATCGCCAGGTTCGACAATAACAATGATACGTCCGTGTACGGGAGGTCATCGTTCTTGGACGCAGCGGGCAGTTTCCTCAGCGGAACAGGAGGGCAAGTGGTGACCAGTATAGCAAGGGACTTCATCGCTCGGTCCACTGGCAGCAGTCAGGTTGGTTTTGACTGCGCTTCCCAGGTTCGTACTTATAGCACTTCTCTATAAAGTGGCACGCATTCCTTCTATGACTAATTCTTGCTTTTTTCTATGTGAATAGTTTTTTCGTGAGTCATATTTAGGGGTAAGCTGACGTCAGTTGCTTGTAAGAAATGGTTTCTATGAAAGTAGTCTTTGAATTTTTATCTTATCAGGATTGGACAGTTACTGATGGATTGAGTATAGTAAAGTAGTTATGACTAATCCCTCAGATGGAAGAGCAGTATAAAATTACGCTTAACTCCCGTAGAACTTTCTTGAAAATTTTTCAGAATTTTGAATATTCTATAGTAAAAGCCATTTTTAATAACCACTGAAATTATAATGTAAAAAAATTAGGGTCTTCTTGATATCCTAAATTATTTGGGAACTACATAATGTCTTCTTATGATATTGTCTCTCCTAAAGGACGTCATTCTATCACGAACTTCGTTACAATTAAATTAATCTTATATGACATCAAATAGATATATGGAAACTTCATACCTAAATAGAAGTATTTAAGATAGATTTTCTGATAATAACATTTATTTTCCCTACAGGTACTAAGTCTGAATTTGACAAATCTAGTGATCCTGATAGTTTTGAAGGCGTTGATCTTGGCGGCTGGTTTCTTTGGTGCAGGCGCATGGAAAGGCGGACATTACTACGGAAGGAGTCTCGATGGTAAGTGGCTCATATAATATGTTATAGGTACGTACATAACTGTCGTGTAGATTATTTAGATTACAGTAGTTGTATTTAAAATTACTTCGTATTCTTTGTACAATATATTATTATTACAAAGCGATGGTACTAAAGAATACCTGAAAGGTTTTACTGAAACTTAATAATATTCTTCATTTCTGAGTGTCTCTTAAAAACATTTATACATTTATCGATATATCGATTAACGTAATGAATTTTATTTTCATTTATTTTTTTCCCTAACGTACTTAAAGTTCAGTATGAAATTCTGGAAGCACACAATATTAAAACACGCTTCAATTGTTGTTATACAATTGTATGTGCTATATATATATATTTACATTGTGAGGTTCGTAAAACAATTATGAGGTAGGTAGCTTGAGCGCGGCATGTACTATTATTTAAATCCAGTAATTTATGGACTTCCAAACTAAGGTGATTGATTGAAATTGAAATTAACTTAAAATTAAATTACAATCAACCATCATTACAACCCCATCATTTAGTCAAAACCTCCAAATATGCCCGAAATCCTAACAATAACCTCTTACAAAAACTGCAACACTTTCAATCGAATGACCAGGAAATCATGAATCGCAAAGAGTTACATCTGCCGTCCACCTTTCAAGGGCACGATACATACATACAAACAAACTGACCATACTATAATCCAATACACTGGACCGATGGGTTTGCTGTGTCCGGCACATAATCCCATTGGCACAGGATTATCTTCGAACCTCCCGACAAATGACCATCAAATAACATCAGCTAAAGGACAATGTTGCTAGAAACTTTTATACTCAATACTGTTACTCGTTTTACCCGTTAAGTACGTTCCTTGATAAGTTGGGTAAAGCCAATTTAAAGTACGTATGTATGTACAAAAATATGTATTTACTGATAGATTGGTTGTAAAGTTTATGTTATGATTATGACTCAAGTGAATTGAGTATATTCATAACCATTTATAATGAATCAGTGTCGTGCCATGGTACTTGACAACTTTAATTAAAATAATGAAACTGAAAATCAAATAAAATTAATCAATAACGCGACTGAAATTTCTCACTTCATTTTTAATTGTGAGATATAATTTTCATATACCAGAATTCATTTAAAAGTCGAACTACCAAACCCGGCGAACTCCGTTTCGCCACCAGATGGCTTTGTTTTATGTAACATTTCGTTTGGTAATTATTGAATTTTCTTGCTATAAAACTCACGGAGTCCGAAACCTTTCCAACGAATGCAAAACCGTGGAAATCGGTTCGTGCGTTCTGGAGTTATAGCGTCAGGAAGGAAAACCCGACTTATTTTTATATAGTAGATTCATTAAATTAAGTTTTGTAAATACAACAAATTAAAGTTACAAAATCATACTTTTTCACAGACAACAAAAACGTGACATACATTAGTGAAGACGAGATCCTGCTCTACCTGAGTTACTTGGCTGGTCAACAGAAGAAAGATTATGGTTGTTTGTACCTGCTGTCATGTCAACGACCTCAGCAGGCCAGCATGTATTCGTCTGGAGCTGAACTGCTTCTGCAAGGCACCAGGATGTTGCAAGGGCAAGTATTTTTGGTTATAAAATAAAAAAGTTTTTGTAATTGTTTGAATTCTTTACAGGGCTTGGCCAATAAATAATTAATTTCCATATCATCAAATGACAAGAGAGTGCATCAAGATTAGGTTAGGTTAAACAGCTTACACACTTCGTATATTGTAATATCATCTACATTATTTGCTAGTATCTATTAAAGAGATAGTTAATTTCCACGTGTGTGTGTGGGAGAGCCATGCTTCGGCCCGAATGGGCCGGCTCGACCGGAGTGATACCACGGCCGCATAAAACTGACGTGAAGCAACGCTTGCATTGTGTTTCGTCGTATGAGTGAGGTTACCGGAGGCCCAATTACCCTCCACTTCTTTTTTTTATGGCAAAAAAAACGTAGAAAGAGCTCACTTTGATATTGGCTTATAGACCATCCATATTAATCATCCATCAACATAATCATCAGTAAATAATTATATATCAAACATTATTTCACTAAGATACTAATTAATATCTTATCTGCCAACAGAGATAGTGTAGACCTGGAGCCCTATGCAGAAATAGCGATGGGCATCAAGCAAGCAGCTGAATGGGGTGAAGGAGGCATGAACTGTGAGACTCGGTATAAGTGTGGAGAGTAATAAGGCTGAAGAAAGTAAACTAAATTATTTAAACAATGATGTTAATCGTATATTTATAGAATTACCATGTAAACTTGAAACAGTTATTGTTATAGAAATAACTACCAATATTTTTCAAACATAATTTATAAGTATAAAAATTACATAAGTTGTCATCAACGTCTTAGGGTAAGACATCAAAGAAAGTTGTAATTTTATTATTGCTAATAATGAAGTTATATTATTATATTAAATGTTTCTATAATAGTCAAAATTAATTAACGGATTCAAGTAAGGTAAGATATACTTAGTCAATATTAATAAAAAGAACGAAAAACAAAAACAGGAAATCAAGTTTATTTCTAACCAATTAAACTATGTACAGAATTAATTGTCGTATTGTTTTATTCATACGGATCATTTAGCAACAGCATAATCAAGTACACAAATTAGCCCAAATCAGTCTGCATTCATTACATTTCCAAATAGGTCTATTATTCTTAGTAAAATTTTCTTAAAACTATTCGTTGTTGCTTCCTTTACAAAAATGGGTTCATCCATGCTTTATATCACAATCCTGATTTGTTAGTTTAACTCGTCGAGTACCGGTTTTATAGACACAATTAAAGAACAATAGGTCGCGGTCACCGGTGACCGCTTGGTGTTTGACAGATTAAGGTGCTGCAAGAACTCGAGGAGTTCTTTCTGATGGATTATTGGCTCTTGCTGCTCTATATTCTGCATAAGACACATATCCATCACCATCTTTATCATCTGATTCTAATGTTCGGTCCACTAGAGCTGAAATTGTAACATCATTATAGCTAGCAAAATCATTATTTAAAGTTATATTAGTTAGATATTCATTAACAATTTAGTCTATTGGATTAGAAGTGTGATACTATTATTTTTATATCACAAACGAATACGACATGACTACGATTTTTTATCTTTCTAAGTACTTTTAATCTTACCTATGTAAGCGTCAAGATCATTAGCTTCTGGTTCAATAGATGAATCTGCATCTGGATCTGGGGCTTCATGTTCAATAGTATGATAAACAGCCTGAAAATCACAAAATTATCTTCAAAAATATTTACTGTCACATCAAATTATATCATTAGTATCTCTTTTCGTCCTATCAAGGTTAATTTTAATGTGGATCTAAAATAACCATAAAAGCCTCCTCAAGGTTATCTTTAAGTAATTAATTATTCCTCTCACCTTTAGCAGTTCCAATCCATCCAACATGGAATTTTTATCAAAATCGTGAGCTGAAAAGTAATGGAACTCTAATTCTTCTGGTGTCATCTGTGATAGCGCTTCTGCTGTTAGTACTTGTGCATCTTCTTCAATGTGTCTGTAACAAAAACAATAATTTGTAAACATAAAACAAATGAACTAATACTCACTGAGAAAATAGGCCAAAATCAGTACTTTACACATTTTATCTGTAGTATCACAATTTCTGTCTTTAGTACGTTTATCTATGTTTAGAATTAATGTTTATAATTCTTGAACTGTAAACAACGAATCAACCAAATAACCCACATGACTTAACTATAATAAATATCATATCTGTGTTACATACTTTACTAACAACCTTTACGTTCCACGCCGTCGACCAGAACGTCGTCACTATTGTCATAATGGCTTACTTAATCTCAAGCAACAGTTGCATCAGTAGAAAGAATCGGACAATTAATTTAAGGGACTTCATTAAAACTCAACAATGGGGACGAATGAGGCTGTTGCCTCATTCGGACTGTTGTCCGATTTTGCAAAATTGCATCACGGCTTTTTAACAGACAACTTTAAGATCAGAGCATATCAAGTAGAGAGGACATTACTCCATTTATCTCAAGGTATTTTATTGGTAACTTTATATTTTCTTTCGAGTCTAAGCTAACACAAACCCTTGAAGGTAAACCTAACCTAACTTAACCGCTGTTCACCGGTGATTAGCAGAGAATCACCGACAAATCGTTCCACCTACATAAAGCTTCAGCAGTTCGCTTAAGCAATCTATTTTTTAAATCAACCAACACAATCGCGACATAACTTAAAGAACAATCATTTAAATTCTGTGTACTCTTCCCTGTTACTTACTTGGTATCATGCAATAGCTGCACGTCTCCAGTAAGTGACTCCGAGCCTCGTGGCTTATAGTGATGGTGCTTGTGGTCAACCGGGGTCTGCCCATGAGGGTGATGTGGTCCGCGACGCATGCCCAACGCCATCGCGTTCAGCATTAGGATTAGACATGCTGAAAACGAAGATAAATCATAATTATCTCAATACCAAGCAAGATATTGAAGGCCCATTGTAATTAGGCTACGATGACTATTTAGTTACTTGAAAAAGAGGACTCAGTTGTATTATTAAGTATCTAGATAAATTTTAAGAACTTCGCAAATGCAAAATGGTCATAAGTTACTTCCACATCGAACATTTTTCGTCGTTTTAAATCCGTTAAAGAGCATACCATTCGATTAGATTGAGAAAAAGCTTCAAAAGTATAATAAATCATTCGACCATCTAAACAACAATCAATATATGTATGATAGATATATCGACCCTTCCTCAATAAGGAGATTATTTCTACAAACCTAACAACCGGCACGCGCCACAAATTCGTCAATAACAGTGACAAATATTACAACAATCAGAGAGCGAACAACACTTAATACCTGTCTTTAATTTGCACTGCATTGTACTTGGGGGCATAAAGGGTGCGACAGCTGGGGTCCCATTGCTCCCCATGCGGTCTACAGGCATCCCGCGGGGACCCAATATTCACACCTCATTTCACAAGAGTCCTGCCCATTACATTTGTCATCGCCTAGTCAAAAGCACGTCAAATAGAATATTTTACTGCGATTACTTTTTAAAATTAGCCGTATTGTAATTTGCTTGTTTATTTAAATTTCTATTGTGTATTTTTGTTATCGAATGGTTTGGTGTATTATACCTCTAAGAACGGAAGGCAACTTCTTCTGATTTGCATTAAGTACGTTTTCAAGCAGATTGTTAAAGTGGAGGTTAGACTTAATGAATTTTGCTCCAAACATGTGAGTTTTTCCTATTAAAACATAATAACAAATAGCACGATACATAAAATATAAACCGAATAAAGAAACTAAACAAAATCTTATCTTTGAAAAAAATCGTAATAAAATGCCCAATTTTTCAATGAAACCCGAATAGATTGCAATCTTACCCTCTTAAAAATATACATTAAAACAAAAAGAGACAGGTGCCCTCACCCTTTAGATAAAAAAAATCTATTACAAAGAACTTTCAATGTATCGAATGCATAATTTATTTTAGGCCCTCGATTTTTGAACAGTTGTTATACAGAAAGACGAGACTGGTCTTTAATCGGACCCCACTTTATTATAGAGCAGTATAAAGCCGTAATAGGGGACAAATTATGCGCTCTCTGCGACAAGTGCGCTGTCCATATGTCAGGGTGTCCGACGCAAACGGTACTACGAGCAAAGGGGACATACAGAACTAAAGGATTGACAACTTTTGATGATCTCAATAGACAAAATAATACATTTCAATTAACTCTTTTTCTGTTATCGGTTTAGGCGACATGTACGCGACTGTAACGTTTCATTTTGAATTTACAGTTTAAGACTTTGACTGCCAATAAAAAACTGTTGAAGGTAAATCCTCCGCTAATGCCGGTCACCGGTGACACACATGGCGTTTAACGTGTTAAGTAATGTTTATCCGATACGAATAAATTACTTTATTTAAGGTCGATTTTTCAATCATCAGTTAATTCTTAACTGTAGAATAAAATTGACATTCGACCGGTTTTATTATAGAAAAATTGCCAAATTTTCAAAGTTATTCCTCAGTTAAAATTTATCTGGCGATGGAAAAATCGGCGCTTAGCCTCTTTGACACCAAGCTTAACTAGCCAGAGTTTAACAATGCTTTGCAACATCAACATCTCCCAATCATTCCGTTTCCATCACAAAAGACCAGACACCAAGCTCATATAAAAACATCAATAACCAATCCGAAAAACTACACACAAAATCTCTTCTCCAATCAAATCAAAGTCCTACTAAATATTCGTCATCCAACCGACCAGTACATCACAATTATGAATGGACTAGGGGTGTCCAAAGTTCCATCCCTACATATTATCGTCTGATAACACCCCAATCCCCTGCGATTACAATAGATCCGTCACCACGGGTCACAGGTTCCTTTATTTTCTACTAAACCTTGGTTACATTTTGGTTTTGCTACTATAAAGCCAAATAATCTTCTAATGAAGTGGTATTGAAGATAGGGATCTTTGAAGTGATGGAGTAAGCTTATTAGGAGTTTTTGTGGTGGGGTTCAGGCCTGCAGATTTTGGATAAGGATTCAGTTACTGGATATGTTAATCGAATAATGTTATTCAACTAATCAAGATATGTCAATTGACTGATAATGTTAAAAAAGTCTAATACAGGTCACAGGAACTCCTTTTGAGAAGTATTATATTATAGTTTACTTGTTTGTGTATAGACAGATTTGTGGGCAGTGAACAGCGTAAAAAATTTTGATAGGGGCTGACAGAAACGCGAACTTCAGTTACTGAAATCGTTTCGAACCTTAAAATATAGATATTAAAGCTATCTTTACGTTTTTAGGTTATCTTGGTATTAACCTTAATAATCTGTTTTACTTTTATCACCAAGTTGATTTAAAGTATTAGGCCTTATGAAAATGGTAGAATAATCTTACCCTCAAGTTTCATCTCTGCTGCATCACTCAGATTCTCACGAATTTCGCTTTTTGAAAACAAATAACATCACAGTTTTCTACTGATACATTTTGGAGCATCTGTCAAGGGCTGACATTAGAAATCAATTTTACAGCGCAAGCGCAAACTGTACAAGCTAACTTAGACTTTATTTCAAGAGGTATAAGCACCTTTATTGCCTCTACTGCAGTCACATTTAGCGCATGTCAAGTGTCAGCTCTTGAAGGGTTCCTTAATTAACTGTACCACCCAAGAGATGTCGCTATGAGTCTTATCACAAGGATATGTTCAAGTAAAAAGGTGTATTCGCTTTTCATGGCAATGACTCTGTGTTTCTGGTTCGATTCTCGGTTATACTAAAGTACTGAGGTTGAGTTTTGATAACCTTGCACTTTACAAACCTCTTAAGAATTATGATCATTTTTTTAGTTACGGTTTAGGATCACCCATGGAAATAATAAAGTTGTACTATACCTATGTACTAAAAATGTTATGTCTAACTTGATTTTTCACAAAATGTGAGTTTTTTTAGAACAATAAGTAATTTATATAAAAGATTCGAATAACTATTTTAATGTATTTATTCCTATTGAAATCTTGGTATCTGTTGCTTAGTCGAATATTTTTAACTTAGTACAAAATATCGAAGCTATATCTATTCAGAAGTTTGTAGGTAATTTTAACCACCTACAGTAATTACCCACCCTATAAACAAAATCTACTAAACCGAAAACTTCTAAAAACACATCTTCCCATATAGTCAAACCCACTAACTTTATCTAAGTAGCTACGTGTAAAATCCGCAACTCATCATGGTGTTTACAACCCTCTATCTCCATACTTCCCATACATACAACCATACACTTGTCAACAACTGAAAACTCAACACCATCCGTCGATAATAACCTTTGAAATTTCTATATACGATTCATTTTCTCTTAACTCAACTTTGAAATAGATCCTTATTCCTTTAAAGATAGGTACAGAATTTGCTGGCACAACAAGGCTTTTAGCTATCAGGAGAACGTCGTATCTACACTTTTCAGGATTGATTGATTGTTAGACTTGTGTCTTGAGGATAGGGTTGGAAATTGTGTGGGGGTTATCAATAGAAGGCTTTTCAGTATGAAAATGTTTATGTTTATAGCGATCTGTTGTGGGAAGTTAAAAAGAGACGGGTGTATGTAAGCGTGTGAGGGATTGTATGATCAATACACGAACAGGCTGCGTGTCCTCGACTCTGAAGTCTCCCTAATGGTCGTTTTCTTACATTTGCATGCTAATTGACTTCTCTCGCAACGTTCCTTTTGTCTCGAGCGTGTGTGACGCAAATTGAAACAAATTAGCGTCTTGCTGACTTGTAGATGAACAGTTTAGTGGGACTTTACGTTTAAGATACTTTAGAAAAAGTGATCTAAATCTAATTAGGCTTTACATAGGAATGAAATGTTAAAGATTTTGCTAGATAAATCAATCTTAGAAGAAATAATAACAATAATGTTTCTATGTTGATAAACCAATACAAATCTGTTTGCTTATTTTTCAAGGACGACATTTTTCTCCAGGGATTTGATCGACACTGAATTCAAATACGGACGATGGATAGTGGAATACGTAATTGCAAATTGTAAACACATTTTGTTCTATCTAAGTAAGTATACATTTACTAATAAGCCTGTTAATAGTTGAAGTTTGAAATCGTAATACAAAAATATGGTAAGTACCAACTTATATATTATCTATGTACATCTGTAAGTAAATAAATATCCTAGTAAATATTTACTTAATACAACAAGTCTTAATTGAAAATTCTGAGACGAGATTACGTTTCTAAGTAAAACATATCCCAAATGAATCATAAATCTCTATGTTAGAAACAATAAATTTTCGGTTTTCTGTATCAAACGGAGATTTGCGGCGTAGGGCGGGTGTGGGCGGCGTTGCTAAGCAACCATTCTCCCCACCACCTCCACATCCCCCTACCCGGATCACTTTTAAACTTTCATGTCGGAAAGTTTTTAAGGTTTGCTTGTGGCTCTCGGATTCGCCATCTTTTTGTTTTAAGCCTCTTTCAGAGGAAAACAACACGAATAAAGTACTCTTAGCTTGAAAATGTTCTTGGGAAAAATACTCGTAATAGGTACCTAATTTATTTAAGATATAAGGAAATTCTTTGACTCGTAAAATGTGTATAAGAATCTTCATAGGATGCGAACCAAGCGTCGTCTAATACAATTAGGGAGTCGAAAGAAAAATATTTTGTACTAGCATTGAGAGAGTTCATTTGATTTGTAAATATTATCTTATATATTTATTACGATCTTTGAGTGTTAGTAAATGCGACGAGATAAGGTGCATTCAAGAAGAAAATTCAGTAGCGACAATACCTACCTAACTTTTAAAATAATGTTTAAAACACAAACACAAAACGTTCTAGAAAAACATATAGTTATACGGTCGAATTGAGAACCTCCTCTTTTTTTTAAAGTCGGT